CCACACAGCCACAGTCCCCCCTGAACCCTGGCCCACGGCCCCCACAGTCCTTCCCCCACATCCCAAACCTCCCCACAGCCCCCCTGAACTGCAAACAAACACACACCCCAACCCCTCCCCTCCACCCTGGCCCACGGCCCCCATGACCCTTCCCTCACACTGCAAACCCACAGCCCCTCCCCTGCATCACAAAGCCACAGTCCCCTACACCTCGGCCCACATAGCTCTTCCCACAGTGCAAACTCACAGCCACCCCTTCACTGCAAACACCCCCCTCAGCCCCTCTTCAGCCACAGCCCTCCCCCGCACCCTGACCCATGACCCACACACCACACACACACACCACAACCCCCCAGCACCCCAACCTACAGCCCCAAAGCCCCTCTCCCACACCAACCCCCCCACACATTGCAGATCCTTCACAGCGCCTCCTCTGCACCACAAACCCACACGGTCCCTCCCCTGCACCCTTAACTACAGCCCCAACACACCCCTGCCCCGCACTGCAAACCTATACCCCCACACACACACTGCAAACCGACACCCTCCCCCCACAGCCCCTCCTCTGCACGCCATCCCCACAGCCCCTCCCCCGCACCTTCACCCACGGCCCCACACAGCCCCTCTCCTGCACTGCAAACCCACAGCCCCTTCTCTACACCACCACCCCACACCCCAAGGCTGTGCTGGGTAAGGCTCCTTCCCAGCTGCACCATGCTCCAGAGCAGGTACCCCCGAGCAGTGTCAGGCTGTACCTGTGAAGTCTATGGGGTGTGTGCGATTCCCATCTCGGAAGAGCTTCAGCACCGGGTACCCTGTGACGCCAAACTCCGCACTCAGGTCCGTCTCCTCCATCGCATCCACCTTGGCCAGCCGCAGGCCCGCGGAGTCATTCTTCAGGATGCCAGCGGCACGCGTGAACTCAGGGGCCAGGGCTTGGCAGTGCCCGCACCAGGGGGCGTCTGTGATAAAGGGGCAGGCTGAGCAGTGAGACCCCCGGCTCTGCCTGGAGCAGCCCCCAGCATCCTACCCTGCCCCCCCTCCCCCCCCGGCTGAAATCCTCCCGGGGGCTCCACCACCACAAGCTCTGTTGCCCCACCGCTCCCAATCCTGGGTCGATCAGGGCAGAGTCCAGCAGGGGCCACTGTCACAGCCTGAGGCCTGCTGGGGGCTGGGAGAGGGATGGCATGAGCACCCAGAGTGGGGCAGGGGGCTTCGCACAGACTTGCCCCTTGGAACAGCCCAGGTTTGCCCAGCCTGGCCCAGCTGTCACCCTAGCAGGTTAATGGTTGTGGTTGGCTCCGCCAGAAGGGCAGTGCCCATCTGACATCCACCTGGAAGGCAGGGTTCCCACTGGGGCAGTGTTGAGGCTACGCAGCCTGCTGCAGGGCCTGGAAGCACAACCCACCCTGGCCTGCCTCTCATTCCCATGTGCTCTGCCCTCTCTGCTGGCCCCCTATGCCACCCAACAAGGTGGGACGGTGCCGCTCGGCAGGGCTGTCGGGGGGATCCCATGCCGTTGGGTGATGTGTTGGCTGGTCCCTTCCTGCTGTCAGCACACGCTGTGGGCCAGTCCTGAGGTGTGGGACATGCCTGCGCCTCCAAGGCTCCCTTGGCTCTGTTCCACCCCCGAAATGTGCTCACTCTGCTTCCCTGGGGTGCTATGGCTCCTTTCCATGGGGACACTCAGCCTGGTGCCACGCACCCCCTCCCTCCCCCATGGCCCTGCTCTGGCCCCAGTTCACAACAAGGCCTGGGGACACTGAAGCTGGACCCATTCACTGCACCTGGCCTGTGACTCGGGACAGGCCCCCTCAGGGCTACGGGGCTTCCCTGTGGGGTCACATACTTCCAGTAAGGGTGACCCCCCCCCACAATAGCTTGGCCTAAAGAGCAGCCTGGGCCTGGCACCAGAGGCAGCAGTGCCCAGCTGGGCAGCCTTGGCTCCTTCACACACAGCCAGTATGCTGGGACCCTGGCCGGCCGGGACCCCCATGGAGCCATACTTGGGAGTGCCGTGCCACACTGTGAGCCAGGCCATGCGGGTCACTTCACGGCCTCTGGCTCTGAAGCTAGGCCCTGTGCGCCTGCATCCAGCCAGAGCAGAGCCACAACCCGCCTGCCCACATGCACTTGAGCAAGGAGCTCCCAGTGGAGCTGCTTGAGGCAGTGACTGGCGTGGAGGCCCCCAGACTAAATGGTGGGGAGGAGGGCTCTGCATCTAGGCCCCAGGGAGAGTGTTGCCGGTTCTGCGCCCAGGCCCTGGAGCACGCGCATTGGAATCTGTGCCCAGGGGAGAACATGGCAAGATCTGCACCCAGGCCCTGGGGAGCACATGTTGGGCTCTGCAGCCAGGGGACAGGAGAGAACGCAACAGGCTCTGTGTCCAGAAAGAGCGTTTGGAGCTATGCCCAGGGGAGACCCTGGCAGGCTCTGCGCCCAGGGCAGGCTCATGACGGTGCTTGCCTGGGTCTAATCACGGCTCTGGCTCTGTGGCTTTGCTTGTGCCACTTTTCTGGTCCCCGGCTCCTGTGGCCCTAGGGGGTCATTGGGCCTTGGGCACAGCTTTGCCTGCACATTAATGTTTAACCAGCCAGTGTCTCCTCTCTCAGGCCAGGACACCCTTCCTGTGGGAAAGCCACCACCTGAGCCCTGCGCTGAAGGGCAGCCAAGCACAGGGCAGCCACTGTTTGCTCTCCCTGGCGCTCAGAGCACAGATGCCCAGGGTCCCACTGGCAGCTGACAGGGCCAAGCACCTGCGCTGACAGCTGCGGCCACCATCCCCTTAGCAAGTGCTCCCAAGAGCCAGTGACCAGCAGGGAATGCACATGCCTAACCCCAGAACGGAGAGGGCATCCTTGGGGCCCCTGCCCCAGGGCTCCACGGCTACTCAGTGGCAGCGCACAGGGTTTGCCGTGAGCCCAGCTGGGTGGTTGGCTGGGGATATGGCCCATGCTGCTGCTGGTACCCGCTGCCTGGTCTGAGCTGCCTCCCCACTCCCCCGCCCCCAACTTACAGAACTCCACCAGCAGCAGGTGGTGCTCACGCAGGGCTCGCTCAAAGTTGTGCTGATGGAGCACCAAGACACCCTCTTCCTCCAGGAGCTCATCAGAGACGACATCCTCCTCTTCCTCCTCCACCACCCCTTCCTCGACCTGGGTTTCCTTGTCTGCCCCCCAGGCGGGTACCAGCCAGGCCAGCGACAGCAGCAGGACTACGAGCAGCTGGGACTTGGAGCAGCCCATGGTGACAGCGCGGGGAGCAGGCAAGCAGTGCACCAGCCACCAGCAGGAGAAGGCGTTCTTGAGGCGAGGGGGGCAGATAAGGGCACGGAGGAGCGGGTGGCGCCTGGCCCATGGCGCTCGTGTCCCTTTGTTACTGGCTGATCGGCCTCAGATAAGGCGTCCAGCCAGGAACGAGCAGGTGGCTGCACGAGCTGTTTTCCAGCCCAGTTCTCAGGCCCTGGCTGGGGACTGTGAACGACAAAGGCCAGCTCCCACTGCATTCTGCCCTGGGGCTGGGCAGCAGATCCCCTGACACCCTTCTTTGGGCGCAGATCCCCTCGGTGCAGATCCCCTGGCACCCTTCCTTGGGCACAGAGACCCTGGCACCCTTCCTTGGGCACAGATCCCCTGACACCCTCCCCTGGGTGCAGATCCCCTGGCACCCTCCCTTGGGCGCAGCTCCTACCACACTTGCCCTGGGCCTGGGTGGGGGGAGGGGCAGCAGTGTCCCAGGTCTGGACAAAGAGACTTTCCCAATATAGTGTCAGCTGTGGCCCAGGCAGAGGGCTTTGACCTATGGTAGCAATGGCCAGGGCCTAAGGCAGGGGTACATTGGGGTGGGCTGACAGCAGGATGGGCAGCTGTCAGGGGTAACAGACGGGTACCCTCACAGGAAGGCACAGGTGGAACATTCAGCCTCACCGTGTCCACGTGCCTGGGTCGCTCTGGGCAACAGAGGCCCTGGGGGCCAGTTGCAGCTGGCACCTGCGCCCAGGGTGCAGTGGAGCTGGAGCTGGCTGACGGCTCAGGGCGATGCTAACAGCCATTCACTCCTGTGGTGTTACTGGTGCGATTCGGGGGCCCTGCAGGGACGTGAGCAGGCTCCCTGAGCTGCTGGGAGACAGCACCAGACGCAGCGGGGAGCCACCACAGCAGAGCCCACAGCCTGAAGGCTCGAAGGCAGAAGGCCAAGAGAGAGCCCAACATTTATTTAAAATCCCTGTTCCCAGGTGCGGGGCCAGTCCTGGGATTTGGGAACACGGCTTGCGGCAGCTGAGGCCAGCCACGGCCAGCTGGCACCCACACACTTGGCCAGCAGCCGGGCAGAAGAACGGGTCATGACCAAACCCCAGCAGACCCCGCCCTGAGGACAGGTCCTTGGCTGTGTGCGTGTGGAACGATCCCCCCAGTGCCTGCTCTGTGGGGTGCAATCACCCAAGAGTCTGCTCTGGGGTGGGGTAAAATGCAGCTTGGGGTCCAGACTGTCCTTAACAACATCCATTTTGGAGCTTCATTAAGGAACAGAGGGGTACGGCCCTCAGGCCGCATTGCCTGCTGGGACCTGTAGCTCTCCAGGCTGCTTTATCCCAAAGGCAGGGACCGGAGCCACGTGCTCCCTTGTCTATTGATTGCCTGTGAACCTTGCGCTCCCTGGCACCGCCAGCACAGGTGCCCATGTTCGCTGCTGGTAACTGAGGGGAAGGGAGGCAGTGTTCTGCGTTGTAAATAGCACCCCCATCCACCCAGCTGGCACGTGAACGAAGCACAGGCGTACACGGGCGTAAGTCAAAGAGAGGCGGTAACGTTTAATGGTAATGACCAAGAGCACAGCCAGGGGTATCAGTGGGACAGGTGAGGAAGGGCCAGTACAGACGCGTTCAGGGCACCCTTCAGGACTACACTGGCCCAGCACAGAGCACAGGCCATGGGGCCGGCAGGCGCAGAGTTGTGAGCTGGCACAGCCCCTTACACAACCGGGACACCCTCACCCAGAGCTGTGACTCATTCACTCACTACAGAGCCAGTGGTGGAAATGCTGGACAAAGTCAGTATTCAAAATACCCCCCAGCAATGAAAACTAACCCTGACCCCGCCCTGGGAGTCCGATCCCCAAAGGGTGAGCCACCTTCATTTGAATCAAATGCAAAGGGCCCTGGGCTTTGTTAGAGGCTGGGGCTGGTTGTGTGGCAAGGGGAGGGCTTGCAATGAGTGGAGTGAGGCAAGCTGGCATGGCCAGAACGGGCAGCACAGAGCTCCACGCTGAGGGTGGCACAGCAGCTCCAGCCAGGATCTCTCGAGAGGCAGACAGACAGGGACTTCACATACACAGCCATCAATGGGGGGGCTGGGCTAAGCCAGTAAACCCTCCGGCTGCTTCTCAGCATAGGACAGGCTCAGGGAGCTCCCCCAGGGCACCGCAAGGCTGATGCAAGGCACCCTGCCAGCAGTGCAACGCTAACGCTGAGACACGAGCAACGGCAGGGGCGTGGTGGTGATCTTTGGGAGCGGCTGTTTGGAAGAACCTTGTGAAAGTGGCAGGAGGCTCTAATACCCGCAGCTGGGGGCACAGTGAGCCCTGTGCCATGCTGAGGGGAGCTGGGCTCAACACTGAGAGGGGCCCGCTGGGCAGCAGCAGAGTCTAGGGAGGGGGAGTCCTGCACTCCCTAGTCCTTGGCAAAGTAAAGACAGGCACAGAGCAGGGAGTGGGCAGGGGAGGGACTGAGGCACTGGCTCAGACTAGGGCTCAGCAGCCTGCTTGGGGTAATGTACTATGGGGAGGACGTGGCTGCAGATGGCAGAGGGGAGAGAAGCACTAGAGCGGGGGGGCATGGTGCCCTGTTCGGCTGCCTGACTTGGCTAGACCCGGGAAGCGGCGCCAGAGCCCTTGTGTTTGCAGTAAGGCTCGTTTGCCCCTAATTCATGTTAAAGTTAGTCTGGATGGGGGAGGGTGGGGAGGAGGGGAGGGCTTCAATCCTTCCAGTCCTTCTTTATACAGAGGTGCCACTCCCAGGAGAGATGGTCCGTTCTGTCGTCATCAATGAAGAAGGATTTGATGTGGTAGGTGCCCCGCACCAGCATGCCCTTGGGGGCCTCGTCCGGGGGGGTCAGGAACTCGTACTCCTCGGCGCGGGGTCCATAGCTGCCCATCATGTAGACGTCTTTATCCACTGGGCACAGAGAGAGAAGGGGGAGCCGTCAGCACGAACAGGGGCGAATGCTCAGGAGCAGACACCAGGTGGCAACAGTGTGTGGGGGGGGAGCATCAAATGCCTGTGGTGACTCGGGGCCAAGGGTGGGGCTAGAACGCTTGACCAGCACCAGGAGTACCCCCACCCCATATCACACTGCCGAGCTCCACATGACCAGCCCCCCACGGAGCCCCATGCAAGACCTGGAGACCAGCCAGGCCAAGGTGCAGACTCACCTTTCAAGCCTTTCCTGTAGGTGTGATGCAAATACTTCAGGCCACAGACAATCTCCTTGTTCACCTGCAGGGCAGAAGGGTCAGGGTCAGGGGCCTGCCGGAGGAGACCTCCCTCTGGAGACCCCATGGAGAGCAGCCTTGGGAGAGCTGCAGGACAGATGGCGGTGACCCTCCCTGAGCACTCACCAGGGAGGCATCTGATACACAGGGGCTCTATCTGCCCTCAGGTCCTGCTCGTTCGCTGCCTGCCCCCCATTTCCCATCCTAGCGTGCGAGCCTCTAGCTCAGCCTGGCTCTCATGCAGGAGAGCGGCACGCAGTCCGCAGCGCAGTGGGAAGAGCGCGCACCCAGCAGCGTCACTGCACCGGGCATCCACCATCACAGGCTGCACTGACCTGTGTCACCATGGAGCACAGGCAGCAGGGCACATTCCAGAGAGTGCCACCAGCCAAGTGCCAGGCAGTGTCAGTCATGACCAGTTGTTCTGCCAGAGGAGACGGTGCTCATTGACCCGCATGCAGCAAGCGAATGCATCAGGCCCAGCCAGGGTCCATGCTGCCTGCTGCAGGATCAGCTCACCTTGAACGAGATCTTCACTCTGTAATCCACCCCTTCCTTCAGCACAAACGACTGGCTCTTCAGTGCCTCCAGATCCCCTGCACCAGCGAGAGGAGAGCTGTCAGCCTGCCTGTCCCTGCCCCCCTTCCACCAGGGCCCAGAGCCCGCCCTTCCCCAGACACTTGGGCATGGACAGCGTCCCCTTGGGATTCCAACACCTAGGAGCAGGGATGGACTGAGGGCGAATGTGACCTGTCTCCCCCCTCCCCCCACACCTCCCCCGAGGGCAGAATCTCCCACGGGAGCGGGGGGGTTAGCCTGCGAGTGGCTGCCGGCTTATTTAGCTGCTCCCCCCACATCCTTGCCCCTGCCAGGGGGCGTGCTGGGCTGGCCCTGCTCACCTGTTAAGTCCATGGTGATGGGCCCTGGAGCCTGGTCACACAGCAGAGTCAGTCTCGTCAAGGTGACGTTAGCCACGCTGGGATCTAGAGATGGCAGGAGGGGGCAGAGTCGGTAGCTGGTCACGGTTGTTACCCGATCCTCCCCTCTCCCCCCCCCCCCCCCCGGCTTTTCCAAGAGAACACAGCTTATTCTGCCATCCAAACCTTTTGCTTTAGCAGCTTCTTGCAGACAGAGCCGTCCTGCTGCCCAGCTCCAGGCCAGGCTCCCTTTGCAGCTGCTGCCCGCTGTGCCCACCCTAGCCCAGCAGTAGCTCACCATGCCGCCACCCTATTCCTAACGGGGCAGCTCCCATGGCTCTGACATTATTCATATCACTAGAATAAACCAATACAACAAACCCGTCTGTATCAATCATTGTGAACATCACAAACAACATGAATCCAACACATCTATTCCAGGGACCTTACAATAGAGTCCCCTATGCCTCTGCCCAGCTTTGGCCCCCGGGGAGGGCATGGCTGCCAACAACCCCGAGAACTAGAGGCCACCTCCCCGTCCCAGGACAAGGGCTGCCCTGCCAGAAGCTTCTGCTCAGAAAGCTCAAACTAAGCTGGGATGGCAGGGCGCAGCCAGCACCTGCCCAGGCTACAGAGCCCACAGGTATCCTCCTGTAGTGCTCCTCAAGTCTGATCAGCCAGGCCGGGACCTGCATGCCCATGACCAGAAGGGCAGCTGCTGTCTGCTCCACCCAGTGCCAGGCAGGGGTGGTCCTCAGACAGGCAGGGTTAGTGCACCCTCGGCTGCTTCAGGGGTGGCCCAGCCCACGTGACTGTGGGGCAGAGGAAATGCCGGCTAT